TTTAATATTTTATTAAAAAAATAACATATTTTTTTAAGTTCGCAGGCAAATTTGCCTGCTAGACAATCTAAGGGATACGTTCAACAATATCTGGTGTTTCAATAGGAAGTTTAGCACAAGAATCCAATGTCATAGCTGATATTTTAAGACGTTTAATCTTACATTTTATAGTTACAATACTTGTAGTAGATTCCTTCTTTTAGATGAAATCTATCTCCATAAGACCATCTAAAATATCCTCTTCATCTGAATCTTGAGCTGAAACAGGCTTACTTTTTTTAGCTTGCTAAATTATGTATAAAGATAATTCACAAATTCACTTTGAATAATTTTACGAATAGTTTTTCTAAAGACACCTGCCTAGCACCTTAGCTACCTTTTTCTGATAAGACATTACAGGTAGATGGTAAATTATTATTCTGATTTACTTTATAAAGCTTGAATCTATTATCAATTTTAGAGCTTAAGGACTTATTAGAATGACCACTCTGCTCAGCGTAGTTTATTTTTTTTCCATGAGTTATATAAACACATATCATATTTTTCAAAGTCTGAACTAGTTGACGAACTATGAATTATAATCATTCTTCTCAGATTTTGATATGTCATTATCAGAAAAAATAAGATCAAACTGTTCGTGTATTGTAGCCAAATGAATTCAACCACTCCTTGATTTGGAATCTCTAGCAAGTTTAGCTAATAAGGCTTTAATTTATCTTAATCTTTTTTCTAACTCTTTAAAAAGTAAGGACTCTAAGCATTGATGCTAAAGTGTTTTGGTACCTTTGGTATTTTTTCTGACAAATTTGACTAAGTGGGCTTCAATTCATTTTAATCTTTTTTCTAATCCTCTATTATTATAATCTGAGAATTCTGAACACTGCTGAGCTAATTTGGTATCTATAATATCTTCTTTTATGAGTTTGATAAGTTTAGTTAAATTAATTTGATTACTCCTAATCTTTATTCTAATTCTTAATTAATATAACTATCAAAGATTGAAGCATTATTCAAATTAATTACATTTTTGGTAACTATAAACATTAGGTAAGTTTAGAATGCATCTGTATTGATTCTGCTAACTGTGCTTTTAAAGAAGCTATTTTGAAATTTAATTTTTCAACCTCAATTGAGGTAATTCCAGAACTAACTTGGGGTTAGATTTGGTTACCTATAGTAATAGTCTGGAGTAATATATTTAGTCCAGCTTGACATTACACCTAACATTTTCTGAGATCAACAAAGAAATTATCTATAGTTTAGTGACCTACACCTCTTATAGTCATATATATTTTTATACTATTACGAAGATTTGAAGGTAAGTGAGTATATAATGCTAATAATACTTGATCATCTGCAAAACCTATTTTATGTTTTCAAACTTTAGATTTATAAACATTAGGAGAATCTGTTAAGTTAAACCTTTCTTGTATTAATGACTGTAAAGCTAATTCAGCATTTTCAGTTATCACTTCTCAATATTTATGCTGAAGCCAAACTGTAAATGTGGTAGATAAATTAATAGCAGGAGTACTATCTGTATAGGGATCATTTGCTGATACTAGAGAAAATTTATCTTTCATCATACCCTTTAAGATATCATATTTGTTTATATCAACAAAAGTATTTGCATTAATATTATTAGCATTCGTGATTACATTTCTGGCAGATTCAAAAATATTTGTAACTTGTTGAATAAAATTATCTGGTATGCATTGCCCTTCATAAGGTTTAATTTGCCCAAGTTGTAGAGCTAATATCTGATATATTTGATGAATGACGATCATATTTCATGAAAGATTATTTTGTAATACTAATATTTGTTACTGTAAAATAAAAATATTCTGATTCTGATTTTGAACTTGATTTTGTAAATTCCTATATTGATCTTTTCAATTTTGCGTCTAGCAAACGCAACCTGCGTCAGTGATGGCCAGTGACCCAAATGACCTCAAATGACTCAAATGACTGGTCATGTGTCATTTGGGTCATTTCAACAT